AACATGAATCAAATGGCTTAAGCATCCCAAACACATTTCGGTTATCACCCCCTATTTCCAAGGCTAGAATGTTCTTCCCTTGTATACATATTAAAATGGATCTTTTAAATCCCAACTTGGGAAAGTCTTCCCTGACCCCAAAAGATAATCACACACTTCCCTGATGTAATCCTATACTTTTTATGCACTACTATTATCACTTCTATCACATTTTATTGGAACTTGTTTTATCATTACCATCTCCCTATCATGAATAGCAAAGGGTTTGAAATTAAAAGACAGCTCTGTCTCATATTTGGGTGACTTTGAACTAATCACTTTACTTCTGAGTCTCAATTTCTTCTTCTATAAGATAAACATAGATATTGTCATCCCATCTCTCTTAGACTTAACCAAGATAACAAATGTGAAAGCATTTTATCAACTAGAAAGTACTGACTAATTTTAATTAGGATAGATAAGATTTTTTTTAAGGTATGTAAAGGACCACACAAATTAGGAAAAAGATGTGATCTCTCACCATTTACTAAGAGTGCTCTAGCCAAGACTACCAGTGAACCCTGTCCTCCCAAATGCCTAACCCCAAAGATCTATTCTCAATTGTTATCTTGTTCAAGCTATCAGCAGCACTTGGCACAAATGATCTTGCCTTCCTCCCAGAGTACTCTTTATGGGGCTTCACCTCAGTGGCAGCCCCTTCTCACTATTCTTTAATTGTCCCTTCTCATCTTCCCTATTTCTAAATCTGGATGGCCCAGCCAGGTCTTAGCATCTAGACCTCTTTTCTTTCTATACTCACTCCCTTGGTGATCTCATCCAGCCTCCTGGCTTTAAATAAAATTTAATCTCTTCCAACTCATAAATTTTTGTCTCTAGATTTCTACTCAGAAACCCAGGCTTGTGCATCAAACTGCCAAGATGCTTAAAACGTATCTTAATATTGTGTCTAAACTGAGCTTCTGGTCTCCCTCACCCCAAACCCACACTTCATCTTAGTGAATGGGCATCCAGTCCATTCAGGTGCTCATGTCGAAAATCTCTGAATCGTACTTGACTCTTCTCTTTCTCTCCAATTCTGATCCAATCCACCAGAAAATCCTCTAGCCACAATATCTTCAGAAGTCAACCCCTTCTCACTACCTCCATGCTACTTTTACCCTTGTCTGTCTAAGTAGCCATCCCCTCTCACTTGATGCCTGAAATAGTCCCCTAAATAGTCTCTCTGTTTCTGAACTTGCTCATCTTTAATCTGGTCTCAACCCACCAGCCAGAGTCATCCTGTTACACTAGTTACATCAGGTCAATCATTAAAACCCTTCGATGGAATCCCATCTCCCTCAGTAAAAAATTCAAAGTCTGCACAATGGCCTTTAGGGATCCATGTGGTCTACACACCATATTCCCATTTCCTCTATGAACTTATCTCCTGCCACTGTCACTTTTGCTCACCCCACTCCAGCCACTATACCTTCCTTGCTTTCTGCTAACATACCAGGCACTTGCCTCTGCCTGAATGCTCTTCTACCCAGTATTGTGTAGCTCATTCCTTCACTTTCTTCATGGTATTCCTCAAATGTCACCTTCTCCATGAGGTCATCCCTGGCCATCTTACTGAAAATTGCAACCCCCTTTCCTCCTATTCCCTATCTCCCTTTCCTGGTTTATTTTACTCAATAGTACTGGCTGACTTTTAACATATTTTTTACTCTCACGAGGCAAAAGCTCCAAGAGTGCAGGGATTTTTATTTCTTTTGTGTCCTCAGTGCTTAGAACAATGCCTGGCACACAGAAGGCACTAAATAAATATTACTTAAGAAGAATGAATGAGGAAACAATGAATGAATAAAGAAGACGTCATAGTTTTATGAAAAATATATTTTCAAACATCTGTATCTTCAACAAAAATCAGCGAAACTACGATCAATGTTCTTAGAAATGACTGGCATTTAAAACTCTGCAAATTTGAGGCCATAAAGAAGTAAATCAAAGCAAATTTGGGAACACCTATTGTACATAAAGAAACTAATAGCAAGTAAAAAAGTAGACATGATACTTAAAATATAACAAAATATTCAGGCGATCACCTATAGTTATTATAAAGTTCAAAGATAAATGCTTTTTTATTTACCTAGAAGATGCTTAATATATGTTGTAGTCATCATTTTTAGATGGCACATAAACATATTTAGATTTTCTTCCTATATACGTTTATTTGAAATAACTTGGTACATTGTTCTGATTTTCAGCAATTCAAACTAATCCACATCAACGAAGAGTTTTAAATAACCAAACTATAAAATGTGATACTTATAGTAAAGTTATTAAGTATATTTGGTTATAACTTAAGAATTAACATTGTATTGAAAAATTTAAAGGAATTTATCACTTTAAACTCTGTAATTACAAATTATTATATTAGTAGTTGATATAAAAGTGATATAATCCCCTCATTAAAATAGATGTTGTCCACAAACATAAAATTTTGGATACATCTGGGAAAAAATATTTTCTCATTTTAATATTGACTTATTTAATATTTTTCTTCTTAACATTATCATTGCTAGGCTACTATCTGCTGGTAAATTACAAATAAGAAGCAATACCTTAACATTCTCAAAAAAACTTCCTAAGGGTAAATGAATATCATCTTCATCAAACTAAATAATCACTCAAAGAAGGCGATGTATGTTACTAAATTACAGATCTAGAAAATGAAAATCCAGGACTTTAAACTTCATTTCACAATGACATACTATTCTTCCAAGTGTTATTTATACTAACTGTGAGTTTTCCATCTAAGTAAAGACCATTCTATAAAAGCTAATATCAGAAAATGTGCAATAGGTTCTTGATTTCCTCATCAAGAAACTACTGAATCACCACTTTGTACTATTGCTGAAAAGTGAATAACAAAAATTTTTAAAACTATATCTAAGTCTACTCATCACTGATAGCATTGAAAATATTGAAACTGAGTAAATTAATTCTAGAAACTTGCTATTATCTCAATTTACAGAAATTTCTGTAAGGAACTAGAAGGGCCACGTATTCAAAGATGAAGCCATGACCTTCAGCAACATGCTTACACATAGTAAGACTTAATAAATGTTTGTCCAAGTGAATTAATCCTCACTTAACTGGATAAAAGAATTCAATAGAACATGTTTTTAGATTTAAAAAAAAACATTTAAATATGTGAAAACTTCTATCCAAATTTACTGAATATTTCAGTGAATATTTTTGGTTAATGTGGCTTGAAATTTGTAAGGCAGTCAACAAAGAAAGTTGGAAGTATCAAAACATCACTAGCTCATTGTGAATGGTAATAATAGTGCCTTTTACAGATACTTAGCCCTCTATTAAGTTTTTTCTTATATATACACTTCTTAAAAATATATTCCCCAGAACAATCCCATGAAATAAGTGTTATAATCCCCACTTATAAATCTGGACACTGAGACCCAAGGAAATCAAGTAACCTGTCCAAAGTATCACAGAGAAGAGTTGCCTGGGCTAGGATTCAAACTCAGGTATCTTTCATTCCCAAGTCTGTTTCTCAACCTCTGAGTCCAATGGGTGGCCATTGCAACAAACATATTTACTTCAGACATTTGTAGGTAAAACACTGGATGAGTAAAACACTGCATTCTCCACCCCACAAAAAAATATTCCAGCAGATAAACTTTTACTGAAAACATTTGAGGAACTCGGACATTTCCATATAGCACACTTTGCCAAAAATGTGCTTTATAGAAAATTAAAACATATTTCCTAAACTAATATTCCCTGAGCTAAAAATTCATACAAAATAATCATTAATACACATAAAGTTATCCACATCAGTAACTCTATTATTCAACAATTTAAAAATAAACTTCACAAGAGAGGATACACCTTAATTATAGGTGCAACCAGCAAATCAAACAATGTTAAAACTAAAAGATTTCTTAAAGTTTCTTTAACCTAACCTTCATTTCATAGGTGATAAACTAAAGCCCAAGATGATTAAGCAGTTTGTTTATACAAGTTTATACAACCAGAAAGAAGCAAATCTTAATACTTTTTAATTTATAACAGGATAAAATATTTGCAATTCCCAATTATCTATCTTCTTTGATCAGACCTTAACGTTTTTCAATTAAAGTAATATATCAAGGATATTCTCCCTCTGTAAGATTGAAAAGCACATTGAACTTGAATCATTTTGAGAATTAAATCTTACAACTTAAATCATTTCAAAACAACCTATTTTAAACAAAGAAAACTCTCACTTTCTATGGCAAACAAGGAAAGTTAAAAGGGGAAAGTAAACACTGCATCAAAATACTTTTATACTGCCAACAGTATTTACGTGAACTTTTAATAGCTTTCTCACAGAGATGAACAAAAATGAATTGTAAGACTTAAAAGAAGGAATATAAGACTTTTTAATGAACATTATAAAACTTGATGTATACCACAAAGACTAAACAAATTTACAGCCTCTTTGTTATGACATAGTCAAGTTTTCATTCTGTTAGAACTTGTACTTTATATTGACCCCCAGATATTAGAAATTCATTTATTTCTGGTTACTTCTGGATTCTGTTTACTAAGATGAAATCTCAAAAGTGAAAAAAAAATTAATTCAAACCACAAAAGTTCTGCTAATGTAGAAACATTCACTGAGATATTTAAAACCAAAATCAATCATAAATAAAATAGGACATTTGCCTATTAGGCCCATCATCGTTACATAACTTTCCTTAGTGACAACATAATCCATTCATATGCATGCTAATGTTGAAGAACATATTGTAAAATTAATAAGATTTCATTAGAAGTGCCCAAATCTTTATTCCAAATGAAAATGAATCTACAAAAACCAGTTCAAAACAAGGAAACCCAAAGTCATAAATCACTTTCATCACACAACAGCTCAACATAACTAGACAATTCTCAATGGCATTAGCACCCACCCCAAAATGAAGCACTTATAGAATATTTAAAAAGAAAAGTACCTTCCTTAAGGTGGAGAATTCCCAGTGATCAAACTGTAGTTAATCCACATAGGGAGGGCATCATCAAAAATCCCAACATTTTAACTTTTATGTAACTCCAAACGAAGAAGTTCGATAACTTTTCATCCAGGAATGACATGATATTGTATTGGCACATCCATAATGTTCACTGATAGAAAGATCCCGTAAGAACAATGCACTGCTTGATGCTTTCTGGATGCTGATAATAATAATTACACCTGTACAATTGAAATTAATTAACATTAGCTTCCAAATTACTCTACACACTCAGTTTCTTTTTTTAAAATAACCGTAACATTAATATAGTGCAGTCATTGACATGAAATTCAAAACTACATAGTTCTGGCACTTGCATCCTTTTTAGGTGCAAGTTTTAATAATGAATACTACTATACAAAATCATAACTTTAAGATGATAAAATAGATGGCGTTTGGATGTTTCCTCCAGTTACTAGCAGCACATTTAGTTTGATGTTTCATATGTCTTGTCAAAACTGAAAAGGCGGGTAAGTCCAAGGGTGTGAGGAAAGCCTCCAGCTCTGGGGTGGGGATAGGAAAGGAAAGTTGAGACAGTGATAAATTATGTTGGTATTTGGAAAGATCCCATAAAACATACCTGAAGATAATGAACTAAATTTGCATTGTTGAATTAAAAAAGCCTCTTCTACACATTCCTAATATTTCAACACATCATAAGAGCTAGAGCATATATTTGCCCTCCTTCAACTAACTCCCCCAAGTGCTGCCCTAAACGTCTTTCTATTGACCAAGTGACAGGACAAGAGGGATAAACAATTTTTGTTGTAAAGTGGAAAAGCACTGAAAGAAATTTCATTATCAAGTGGAGATGTTTACTAGTTGCAGAGCGGTTCCCTCATTTGAGCAAGAACCAAGCTAGAAACACTGCAGAGCTTAGCTACTTGGGAAACAAAGTTAGGGAGTCTCCCTTTGCCAATCCACACGGAGGAAACCGCGTTGCCTCTGAACCCATAGGAGCAACAACAGCCATCCCTCTTTGGGGCGGGCGTGGCAGATGGAAACAAAAGGTTAAAACACAAAAGGCAGGAGGAGGGCAGGGTCTGAGGAGCTTTGAGGGCTCACTTTCCGCTTTCTATTCAAACATATTGAAATGGGGGGGTGAAGTGAGAGAGGTGATGATGGATTGTAAAGACAGCATAGGTTATTCTGGGTGGGTGGTGAAACTAAAGAGGCCCACCGGGATGGCCTACTCTAACTAGTGGTCCAGGCCCCATCCCTCCATCCCTGCATCTCTGACAGTTGGGAACCTGTGGCTTCCCCCACCTACCCTAGCCCCAAAGAAAACTTTCTGAACTCTTACCTGTTTGCTCTAAGCCCCTGGACCACAAACACAAGAGTCCACTCCCCTCCAATTCAAACCTCTTCTGCATTCTATTGTTGCAGATTTGGCATTGTGCGTTGGATCTGCGGAGCGCTCCACAGACAGTTAAGTTATAAAACGGTGAGGAAACGACCCCCAGCTCCATATCTCTTTCTTTTGCATGACAAAGTCTGGGCGGGGTCGGGGTGAGACTGGACAGACCCCATCCATTTCAACGTGTTTTCTCCCCGTGTGCGCACCGCTGGGAGACAACGAGGCAATGCCCCTTGATATGCCCTTTCTCCCACGCCAGCTCCTTAAAGAAAGAGGCACTTGAGAAAAATGCCTGCCTGGCTTTTGCCTATTAAAAATGAACAAATAAAACCATCTGTGCAAGTTCGTTAAAGAACAAAAGAGAAGGGAGCTGGGGAAAGGAGGCACAACTTTCCAGCTAAACTTCGTCACTGGACGACTCCTCTGTCCTCCAAGGGCGGGGAGCAGGGCGCATTAAGGGAGAGCGAGGTAAACAAGACAACAGTCTCCACTCACCTTCTTCCCACTTGGTCACACTTTTCAGAGACGTTCTCCTGTTGCAGTCCGCGAGGCGCGCGGACACTTTTTTGTGTGGCCTGACAGCGCAGAAAGTCGAGGCTGCAAAGTTGCTAGAGGGAGATACCCGGGCGTCCGGGCGAGGGGAGGAGAGTTCATCAGAGTTCCCCCCTTTGTTCCCAGTCCCGGAGCAGACAAAGAGGCGGCGAGCGACGGCAGGTTCTCCCTCTCACCCCTTCTTCCTCTCCCCTCCCCTCCCTCCCTCCCTCCTCTCGCCGCCTC